GTTTGGACTGCATTTTGTCGGCAAGCAGTTACATGTGCATGTGAACTCCCATGCTCTACACATACCCCCATGTTGAGAATAGTTCGTCCCGAGAAGCCAGATGCTTATCTCCAGGTCAACATGCACTCACACATCCCGTGTGGGAGTTCTCAGACAGTGCAATAGAGATTTTGGCAGTGTCCGTAGTTAAAGTTTAACAATTTACTTCCCATAAATTGATGTGCTCAAAATAATGAACTTTGAACCCTAGATCTGGACGGTATTTTGGTATTTTAGGAATGTTATAATTATTTGTAACAGCTAGTTGTGGCCAAAGGAATCTCGGCGAATGATACTATAGTTTATCCTGTTAAAAGAATGCCTTTTTTTCTTCTTGGGATTCTGCACAGTAGTATCTTGTCGACCGTTGTAGGGTGTGGAAGCCTTCTTAGACGTCTGTTCCGGACCATTATGTTCGCAGGGCCCATTATGTCCGCAAACTTTTTCAGGTCCATTATGTCCGTCCCATTGTGTCCGCAGGTGAGTCTTTCGTATACATTTGTTTGGTGTTCAAAAAAGAAGCAGACAGTATTTGCGTTGTGCACGCTTAGAGGGATCATCATAGAAATATTTTAATAAAACCCTTGAAATTGCACCTTAGGATTTCAATCGAACTGGTGGAAATGTTTTGGCAATTTTATCCCATATTTTTGATTTTTTAAAGTTTTAATGCAATTTGCACATTCATAAGGAAACCTGTGATTGTACTGAAGGCAATGTCAATGTCGCAAATGCTCGGTCAATTTTAAATGTTTTTATCGTGTAACTCTTGCAACTCAAAGAGGATGTCAAACAGTCTTCATACATCAAAGAAGAGTGCAGAGATACACAAGAAGTGCTTCCAAGTAAACCTCATTTCATGGATCCTTTAATTAAAATGGAGACCCTTAGCTGACTAATAACGCTGAGATGAACCAATTTATGTTCAAACATGTTAAGAGTAATATGTTAACCGACACGTTTTATTGAGACTAAGAACAGTAATAAATCAAGGCTAATAGCAACGGAAAACTTAGGTGCAAATAATATTTGTTAGTGTACAAAAACATTTTTGAAAGTGAACAAATACGTAAAGAGTACATAGCATACCAGAAAATGAAATACAATAAACCCCAGAATATGAACACAAACTGCAATCGAATCATACTGAATTTGTTTCGTGTGCCAGACGTGAATACGTGACTTTGTGTCGCTGGATTTGTGCCCACGTTCAGGGCTGTATGTGAAACGTAAACGAAATGCTTGAACTTCAAGACCAAACGGTCTTGCCTTAATTTAACATCAACCAGGCCGAATGAAGAATGGCTAGGCTATACCAGGCTGCACATTTTGTTTTAGGCTCTGTTTTTGTGCATCACATAGGGTCCATTCTCATAAAAATTTGACATTAGAGGATTGGACTTTGAATGTTGACTACTGATCCTGACAGACCCTTTTCTGGTAATGATGTGACCCATATGCTGAGATCTTCAATGAATTTTGCTCTGCAGTTTCGGGAGTTTTGGATTGCTGCAGAAATCTTACTTTAAATTGTCTATCGGAATCCTAGCATGCTTTACTGCCTCCATTTACAGGATGCTGTGAAGTAAACCTGAATGGGCTGCCTTAAAAGGTATTTGTACATGTAAATGTACTATGCGCGCTGCCTACAGCATCATCTGGAGATATGCCCCACATACATATTTACAAAGGACGTGAATCATGATATAACGATAAAACGAAAAAATGTGGCATTAAGTCAATTTATGCAACATCATCATTTCGTGTCCACACAAGCCAATACCGATCCTTGACATATCATAAAGCAATTTTTTTATGGATACCATTTAACCCTACTGGTTCTATACTTTTCGACTATCAACTCGACTTCGGTTAGGCAGTGACTTGCTTTAACAGAATAAAATCACAGCGTGAATCAAATTTACTTTCTTGAATCTGACTTTTAAAAACTTGTGGCAAGCTAATGAGCGTCAGGATGCCCTTTAGTTCAGCGCTGGCTTCACCTTCATGGGTTTTAAATTTGGGGGAAAGTCCGGAAGCAAGAATTTCGTGATTTTTTTTCAGGTACAGAGGAAATCAATGGATTTCACAGCTCGAAAATGGCCACTGCTGCATTAGACGACTGAATTACATCAGACATCTCGTTTCCATCATAAAGCTGTGCTGGCGTTCAGTGTTTGGCCCTGAACAATAAGTAAAACTACATGGAGGGAGGAAACATACGTGTTGTCTATTGGATATTATGCCAACTCAGGTTCCACATTTAACATTTTGTCTGGAGAGGTAGAATCTTACCCTGGTCCAGAAACTTCTGGAAATTCACTGGCTACATCGCACAACCAGTGACTCTCATCAAGGGAGGGAAACAACCTTATATATCTACCATCAGAATGTTAGGAGTGTCAAGAACAAACTGGACAACTTTCATTGCGAATCTCTAAGTCGCATGCATCCCCTCGGTAATTACCGTACTTTCTGTGATTGTTTCACTAGTGCCTCTCTTTAAAGGAGCAGCATCCGTCTTGTGGGTAGTTTTAACTTACCTAAATGGAATGCAATCTCGGGATTACCAGAGCCCAGTAATTTTGCCGTTGAAATGTTTCAGATGCTTTGATGAGTGCCCACAATTTAACTTAACTTAACCCAACAAGAGGTGATAACATCTTCTTGATCTTGCTTTGTGTATCGATCCTTAAAAGCAACCTGTGATATTGGAGACAACATATTCTCACCCGATCATAGTGGTGTCAGCGTTGCTCTTTATATTCCACCGTTACTTCAACATGTCGAGTCAAAAAGAACAAAAAGCAGATGCATGTGATCTTAAGATGACCTTACGGTACATCACATGGTGCTTATTTGAAGAAACTTCAAACTGTGAAGAAGCAGCTTCCCTTTTTATGATTTTATGATTGATTGAACTATCACAGATGTTGTGCTGAGAGTACGACTTCGTCGCTCAACTCCTCCTTGGTTTGATGGTGAGGTGAAGCTCTAAAATTCAAGGAAAAATCTTTCAAGAAGAAGCGTGTTAATCGTACCCCTGAGGTTGTTCATGTCTTCAAACTAGCACGGTCCTTCTTCAAGTAGTTGGCAAGAAAGAAGTATGGAGAATACTTGGAAACATTACGTGAGGACTTCAAGGAGGAAAGAATATTTTACGGGCAGATCATTCAGCCAGTAAATCAGCACTTTGATGGAGCATTTGTAAAGTATGTGCCTAACACCTTTGGATGATATCCTACCAGATATTCAAACCGGCTAGTTTGAATTTTATGCCACCTGTCATCATTAGCAGCGGCACTGTCGTTGAGGGTGAACTCAATAATATTGATAGTTCCAAAGCTTGTGGCCCTGACATTTCAGCCTCTTTTTTGAAATCTGATGCTACTGGGCTTTGTAGCCCATTATCTTATCTTTTTAAGAGATTCCTGTGTGAAGGACATTTGCCGTCATGCTGGAAACTTGCCAAGATCGTTGTTATACGCACATCTGGTAAGAAGCAGAATGTGGTGAATTATACACCTGTTTGTCTGTTACCACTGATTTCAAAGGTGTTGAAAGAATCTTGTGTGCCCAGCTTGTATCCGATGTGCCGCCTGCCATTTCTGAACACCAGCATGTATTTGTTCCTGGGAGAGATTGTACCCCAAATCTCTCCGTATTATTACGGAAGCCTATTCTGCTATTGAGTCGGGGGTGGGGGACAGCTGGACTTTTCCAAAGCTTTTTATAGAATCGATCATCATTTTTCACTTCATTAATTAGCTTCATACCACGTTCATTCACAGTTATTGAATTTATTACGTAGTTATTTAAACACAGGAAACACAGGGTTGTTGTTGAGGTGATTCTTCCAACTGGTATCCGGTGCCACAAAGTGTGCTGCATGGCTCATAACTCGGTCCCTAGCTCTTCACATTGTACATAAAGGATTTACCACCATGTTTTACAAGCAGATCGTTACTTTTCGCTGAAGATTTGAAGCTTTTCTGTCAGGTTAACAATGATTCTGATTGTCTGTCTCTACAGGATGATTAAACTTGGAAATTGAGCCTGAACCTGCAAAAATGTTGTGTTTGGGTGTTCGTGTGTTCCTCCCTTCCCCCAACATTCCATCCTCCCCTCTCCCCGTTTTTCTGTGTGTTGCTTTAGGGAATATAGCTGGTATGCGTGGTATATTGTCTACTTTTTTATGTTTTACATGTGTGGTTGTATTTTGGTTTGTTTTATGTAATTTAATGTAATTTTTGTTGGAATTTATATATATTATTAAAAATCCCTGTAATTGGGGGCAACCGCGGTTGGTTATTAAACACATAAGTAAATAAATAACATATTCCTCTATCAAGTGGATTGTCAATCGTTGATTCTTTTAAATCGAAGTCGAAAGTGAGCGTCTGCAGAAGGTCAGGTGACGTTATTATTGCATCAGTGATTGACTTCAGCTTATTTTAGAAGAACAGCCAAACTGAGATATAATCAGTGCACTTAGTAGAGAAGGAAAACCTTTTAAGTTTATACCAGCGTAGTTTGGGGCCATGTCTTGGCCTACTTGTATTACTTTCCAGCGTTTTAGTCTGGGACGCGTCGCCCTTGAGGGCTGATAGGGTTTCTGTGATTATAGTTCTAACCTGACATGGAGTTGGGAAAAGTATTGGATACACTGCAAAAATCCAGATTTCTATTCCATTCCATTCTATGCAGCTCTCATCGTGGTTCACTCAGTGAACATGATGTTAAAAGCCTAGCATGAATCACGGGTTTAATGTTTCAGTTTCGCATCAATTCAATATATTTAATTGACAGGCAATGTCTGTAAATATTTGAAGCTATTTAGCAATAATGCAGAACGACATTGATGCACTGATATCCAGTAGCATTTTCAATACATTAAATCAGCGCACAGTATTTCATTTTTGTGACAGTTCTCTTTTTGCATTATGTTTAATTTAATATAGAAAGCTCACTTTGCACAAACGTCCAGTCTACGGTCTTAATGGGACCTTACCCGGCGTATCAATTCTCAAACCACTTGTCGGCATCGAAGAAAACTTAGAAGGAAACTTGGAAACCTTCTTCACATTGGATTATCCAAAAGTAGGTATTGTTTAGTCAAGCTTGTCATCACAAGGGTGATCGGGCACGTCGGTAAAACTCTTTTTACATTTATTTTTAGTGGTATTCATAAGATGATTTGAATGCACCCCGTGACGCACTCCCTCACTCAACAATGGCGATCGGAGGTAGTTCGCTCGTCGCCCGCACGTACTGCGCGTTCACGCTCCATAGAGACAACGTTTATTACAAGCGCACGTGCATTTCATTTTCACGCAGACAATGGTTTTCGTGGTAGCAAACAACGTTATAGTGCGAAATTTTTGAACGACTGACCTCATAAAATACCAGTGTAGAAGCGTAAAGAAAATTCAGGAGGATATAAACAGTACACCACGAACAACACAAAATTTTCCTCTATTAGTAACGGTAAGTCCCAGAATAGTATTAAAAAAAGTGGATTTTACGGACCCTTTCCAACAACGAAAAAAAATCGAAATTACAAAATTTTGCACTAATTTCGTCAATTAGTTTGTAATAAAAAATATGTTTTCTGAGACAAAACTCTAGTACCAAATTAAAGATTCACCCTCAATGTATTGATTTCAGGCATTTATTTTAATCAGATCATTTTGAATCACCCCAAAATCGTATTGATCCAGCGGTGTGAGACAATAAAGAGCCATTTTGGATCCGGTTTTGTTACCGAAATGGTATATGTCCATCACAAGGATGATGATTTTCGGTTAGAATGTACCGATTTCGTACGGGACTGATACCATTCATAGGGTAGAATCGTTAAATTAGTGACGGTACCTAGACGTCAAAGTCGTCGCGTCCGCCCCAGCACATGTGCATGAACGTGTACATGTCACTCGTACATGTAAACACGTATACACGACTGCACTTGACCCGTGACTCGCCGCTGCAAGAATCAAAAACTCAAAAAGTCTGCCCTTACGAGAGTATGGTGCAAGGGTATCCTCTCTTTTGTCAAAAGTTTGACAGAACAATAATTCCTGACTCTAAGAAGTAAGTTTTATTAGGACATAATTTATTTAGATGAGATAGGTTGACGTATTTTTCAGTTACAAAATGTCTGGATTCACACGATTTCACGCGAAAATGTGGTTCAAATTTGAATTTATTTTACAGAAAATTTTATCTGTCGGATTCCCAGTTTTTGAGTGCAATCGATTATGACAGTCTTTTAGTTTATATGAACCTAGTTTTTATAACCAGGAAAACTCAGTTTTAATAGATATTGATCAAATTTGGCAACATTCAATTTTTCAGGTTAAAAAAACAATTATTTGGGGTTTATTTAAATCCACGGTTTTCATTACTTTTTGAGGCAGGGCACAAAATCGATGCTACTGAAAAATAAAACGATTAATTTAATTTGGATTTGTCACGAAAAATTTTATTTCCGTTTCCTGAAAATCCATTAACAAAGATGACACCAATCTTTGCAATCAAAGCGCGCAAATCAGACATTGCAAGTTGCTAACCCGTTGTCTGTTGCAAATCATGCGCACGCGCACGCGTCATGAACAAACGTGCCCCACGCCCTGTTCGGGCGATGGGAAGGGCTGATGGGTGCATTCCACCAAATCATGCAAATCGTTGTATTTCTGCGCGATAGCTCATTAATATTTTATGATCCCACAGGGTTTTTACAGTGAGGCATGCCATCATTAGGACGTGTCATAGAAATATTTCCATATATCCCGATTTTGGGATTGAGAGTTTCCAGTTCGGGGTATTTCTTTCACAAAAAGCCCCAAGTAGCGGACTATTTTGGATAGAGGCGGGCGGCTACATTCACAGCATTCGGGGAAAGGGGAATAAAAACATTTTTGCGGCTTACCACCAAGATATTCAAACGAAATGTGATCTTCTGGCTATAATTTTGAATTTCCAGTGAAAAAAAACGGAGGCCAACCTTTTCTTGAGAGTCGACAAGCGGCACTTTTTCGGTCTGATTTTGCACTGGTTTTTCTCTGGGCGCGTATTTGGTGAAGTGCAACCTGATAGCTTTGCACAGATTTTAGCGAAGGAAATACGTCTCACGGGGTCACAGCTAACGACGCAAGGAGCATTGTGGGAAAATGTTTACCAGGTGCGCGAGCTTGGTCAATGTGGCTGTTATCAATTTCAGATTTTTTTCCTTTTTCTTTCTTATTGCTTGAAATGTTCTCACTCTACTTTATTAGCTCGTCCAGAATTGAAAAAGATAACCAACTGAATTATTTGAAATATATTGCCAAAAAACACGTGATCAGTGATACTTAGTAAGAAGATTAATTACCGTGATTGTTCCAAAGCTATGTTTTTATCATATAAGCCGACACTATGGTCTGTACCTAAGCATTGCCATTGGCTAAACAAAACTTAAAATAATGCTTGGCTAACAGGAAGTGATAACCTCGAGGTCAGAGGTCATGCACAAAGAAGCCAATCACAGTGCAAAGCCATCAGCCCTTCCCAGCGTATTAATTGCTCGGGCGCTGGGCGACGAGCTAACGAAGGTAGTAGCAATGCGCGTCCCCACGTAACATTGGGTCATAGATATCAGAAGAATTCTGATATCTGTGTATGGGGTATCGGTGAATATGGTGACGCCCGTTCTCACTAAGTAACAAAGGTGATACTAACGGGCTTGTGCTTCCCTTTCGATTTGGTCTGATCCTTTTATGTATTTTTACCGTTTTCTTACAGTTCGAGCTTTTATTTGGTGTGCACACGCCAAAGGACCCGGCGCGAAAAGTGGTAGAATCGCTCATGAAAAGGTATCCACACGTTGATGCCAAACTTTTCGTTGGTGAGTTGACGGGGGAAGAGCCTTTCATAACAACACTTTAACTACAGCAAAGGTTGCTTTTCGTGAACTTAGTCCAGCTGTCTCCGCCTTGTCGGTTATCAATTGATTCACGGCCTTGGTATATAAGCGTCAAGCGGGCTGTCAAAAATTTTGATAATTTTCTGTGCTTGCAGGCGGCATGAGTGACTGGGGAAAAATACGGAATCCTAAAGTGAACAACATGATGCCGGGATACATGGTATCGCGTTACGACCTCATTCTGATCAGTGACAGCGGCATAAAAATGCGTAAGTACATGATGTACGGCTATAGTGACATTTCGAAATTCATCTGACCCTTACCACCTTTACCTTTGTGCAACTAATCCATCGGTTTTGGTCGGCTCACTTGATTTCTTTGAAAACCAGTATCATATTGTGTAACGGTCATCATGAAGTGGCATTCTTCAAAAGTATTATATTTCCCTTAGTCTTATTTTAAAACTCAAAGCTTGAAAGTAAGAGGGTCTGACGCATAGGAGAGGAGAATGGATAATTAAAAGTTCTCAAAACTCCTTGCTCCACTGATGGCAACTTTTGCAATAATCAAAATGGAGGCTGGCTTCAGATGCGAACTCTCATTTTATTTGGGCCCATCTCACAGCCAGAGGCGGATTCCGCCCCAAGAGCTTGGCTGTGCCATGCTTGGTTCTACTTTATTTAAACTTTAGATGCATGCTAAGACACTCTTTTTCATTACAAGGTGAAGTCTGAACTTACTCCCAAATAATAAAGTTTTGTTGTTACGGTCATTTGAAGTTCGGGGCTACGCACGTGCAAACCGACACTTGCATTGAGCAGGGTAGTGAAAAGTATACATTTTTGGTACACCTGTTTCGGGCAATGGGCGCTGCTCACGAATGGTATGTTCGATATTTGGGGAGAACTTCCAGAGATGGGCGGATTCTGCGCCGGCTCTTCTGGGGACAAGTCATTTCGTAGATGGTTCGAAATTGAGGTACGTTAGTTCCTCCTTTGTCCTTTTTTTCTCAGACTACCCAAACACGTTGACGCAGATGGTTCATGAGATGAAACCTGATGTCGGCTTTGTTCATGGCCTTCCCTTTTGCTGTAATAGAGAAGGTTTTGGTGGCACGCTGGACAAGGTTTGTTTTTTCCACTTCATGTTGCCGCTGAAAATCTCTTAATGAAGACAACCGGAAACCGCATTGATTTTATCCATTACTTAATACCATCTCTCTCTTTGGTTGCCAGGCATATTTTGGTGGTTCACATGCTCGCTTGTATCTAAGCATGAACATGCTTGGGATCACTTGTGTCACGGGTATGTTCAACCTTGTCAGGCGTAGCGTCATTAGTGCGGCTGGCGGCTTCGAAGAATTGGCAAAGTACATTTCAGAGGATTGCTACATGGGACGCGCTACAGTCAAAAGGTAACATACAAATCACCTCATCGTTCGTTGTCTTTCGCGTTTCTTTTTCAGGACAAGAATTCAGACACAGAAAAGTCGTGTAACTAGTTTGCAAATATTAATCTGCAGTAGCATATTTTTGATGACTAAGCTGCCTTTTATTCCACCAAGTGTTCTGTTCCCCCAGCGGTTTTAAGATCAAACTCAGCACCTTGCCAGCCATGCAGAATCCAGGCGATTGGGATACAAGAGCTTTTGACAAAAGGATGGTCAGGTAAGGATCACATATAATTGTGGCATCATATGTAATTACACATGTATTTTTAATTGCAGTCTTCCAGGGTGAACAAAAATGGATACTCTTCTTATCAGCACCATATGTTTTGAACTATTTTCTCGATTTTCAGGTCTTGGGAAATTATTTTAACTAATGACCTTTAAAACGGGTTTGCATTGCATTAGGTCAAACTAACAGCTTTATAGATGCAGCTTTCATTTCACACCGTTTAAATTTCAAGTGGTTTGAATCAGGCGTGGTATGCCCATCATGATGTCATTCTCTCGTTTACTTTGACAAGATGGACAACTGTGCGACGCTCTACTATTCCATCTACCATTATACTAGAGCCGATTTCTGAGATGTTAGTGTGCGGCTTATGCTGTGCCTGGGCCGTCCATTATTTGTTCGATTGGAACCCTTTGCTATTTATTGTGCTGCATATTCTTCAGTGGTTCCTGTTGGATTGTATACAACTCTATATGTTACAGGTAAGAAACTTAAGAAAAAAGTCTCAACTGTTAAACGGAAAGTTGGCAAATTTTGTATTAGGACACTGAAAAGGGTTGTTTTGGCTAAATGGTCTACATTTCAAGATTGTTAGCTGGTGTTGTGTATTCTTTACATTCGTGGACTTCGATTGCAAATAAAAGAAAACATAAGAAAACAGATCCTTGTACATTTTCATATTGTTCCCTGTTTAAAAAGAAAATCTACAAGTAGGCCTGCAATTTTGATCATGGCAGAAGATTTCTCTATGGCTTATTTGTTCATTTTTAGACGGAACCATTCAGTGTCTCGAAGTTGGAGTTTGTACTCGCTTGGATCTACCGGGAATTCACCACACCGTACTTTTTCCTCAAAGGTTGCCTTGAGGACAAGGTTACTTGGAGGACTGGAAAGTTCCAAGTTACTTGGGGTGGTTTCATCGAGAAAGTTTATAGATAGAACCAGAAAATTAGGTGCGTTTCCGGAACCTTCCCATGGGCTTGTGAAAGTGTTGGTACTTTTGTTAATTTCAAATTCACACCAATTGAGCTGACCTTAGAAAATGATTTGACCATATCAATTGATGACATCATTAATTAAAGAACAAAATCTTTCATTTCATGTTTGGTATAAGAATCGTCGGCGAAGCTAGGGTCGGCATCAGAGCAGTCACAAATATTTTTTTCTTTGAACTTTATTGTGGGAAAATTATGAGATTAATTTTCAAGTGGATGTTATATTTGGTCTTTTATAATTAACAAATCATTCTGCCAAACAACAGGTGGTTGAATGGCATTCCAACTCGAAGAGCCCACAGCAGACAGGTCATGCGAAGGTTCAGGAAATTCGGAAAGTAGCGTTTTACGAGTACTTTCTGGCTCGTTTAGACAAGGGTGAAACTATAGACGCAATTTGGAGGTATAATTCTAATTGGTTTATTAAATTAGAAAGTTGCCTATCAAAAGTAAGTACCAAAGCTTTGCTGGATGAATGCAAATGTATGCGTAGTCTCAAGCTCAAGTCGTCTGTGCATCGTGGAGTTGTTGAACTTGCTTAGTTTTTGTGTTTATTTCCTCGCCCTATTTTTTCCCATGAAAATTGCTTTGTGATTTATTCTAATACCTCATTGACATGACCACTTGTTGTTGTTGTTTTTTTTCTTCAAATCTTAGCCCGGTGTAATCCGCCGGAATGATAAAGATTGGAAAGTGTATAAACCAAAAAAATGCAAAAGTTGTATTCAGGATGAAGCGCCTCTAATTATTCGCTGCGTTTGATTTTTTTTAGTTGGATTGTTTTAGTGCGTGTTTAAAATGAAAAGTAATGTAGGTGCCGGTATGAACCCGGACATGAATACATTTGATATGAAACGCTCCTATCATAAGATAATAATAGTCTGTGGTCCATGAAATGGTGTTTAAGTTGTGTACAACTTCTCAGAACTTTGTGAAATGTGAACAAGTGAGAAATGATTAAACTTTGAGCGCGAAAAATCTTCACATGATGTGAATTTGTAGGCATAAGGAATGCATGCCATCAATTTATTGATCAATTTGGATGATTCCTTCTATGAGGTATTAATTGGTTTGGGGACGTTTTCAGTCCCGTTTAAATGAATAGGAACTCATGATAAATTGATGCATTGTGGCATCGGCAATTCTCAGTGCAAATACATTAACGGTTATTGCTTTTATATACGAGGGCGGACTGGAGGGATTTCGGGTCATGGCCCCAACGAAGAGCCAGGGCTTTTTGGTTTGGTTTGGTTTGGTTTGGGTTGGGTTGGGTTGGGTTGGGTTGGGTTGGTTTGGTTTGGGTTAGTTTGGTTTGGTTTGGTTAGGTTTGGTTGGGTTCGATTTGGTTGGGTTCGATTTGGTTGGGTTCGATTTGGTTGGGTTCAGTTTTGTTTTGTTTGGTTTTTGTTTTTTGGTTTTGTTTGTTGGTTTTTTTGTTTGTTTATTTTTGGTCTCTTTCATTTATTTTCCTCAGCCCCAAGATATGGCCTCACCCCTCACAGAGGCTATCAAAAAGTAGAAACTAAAAGTCCAATTGTTTACCTAGTCCGCCCGAAAGCAAGTTTGCCCCCACCCTTGGAAAGTTGGTTCTGGGTCCGTCCTTGCTGTTGTATAAATTTTGTAGCGCTATTTTTGTTTGTATAATAATAGTAATCTAACTTTTGCTTTAGATGCAATTGTCCGATGGTTTTGACATCAAAATCGCGTGCCATGGCACGCGCGTTGGTATTTTTGGCCATTGTCGCCTCTCCTAACCCTGGAGTGTAATGGGTACCTGTGAGGGCGGAGAGCAGATTGCGCATGCGCTGATCTCGAGCTACTGAAAAAAATGTATCTCATAGCCCAGTGAACAGGAGTAATTCTATACGATTTTGAAACCTCTGTGTGTACAGCTCTTTTTAAGCAACGTGTTGCAGTATTAAGTAGTGATGGTCTTGTAAGTGATTTTAATTAACCCTAAACCTCCTCAATCCTTCACCTGTTGGAGGACTGAGGAGTGTTAGGGTTAATGTGTTGTAATTTGTGTAACCTATTATGGCATTAAGTACGTAGCATAGAGGCCTGTAGTTGTGTTAGAGATCACGTCTCAGTGTTTTACTGGATTAGTCATGAAATTTCATGTTGTATATGAACGATGTCGGATGCACGCTTCCTTTGCATATATTGGCACGATGTTAGCGATAGGGGATTTAGAAATCCTGAAAGTAAATACATGGAAAGATAGTGGGAGCTTCCGGTATTGCCCAGTGAGCTGAGTAAATTGGGAGCATTGGATGTTGTAGTACGATGTAGACTTTGAAGCATTTACTGACCTCAAGTGGTACGGATACAATACACAAGAATTTAGAATTAATATAGAATTTATCTGCAAAATTCATAACTTAGCGGGCTTTGAAGAGCCTTGACTGAATTCCAGGGCACCGGCCTTGTATAGAACGTCCTGCGCAACAAACTCTGAACTGTGTGTTGTTTCTCAATTGGATAATGTGGAAATTTCAAAGATACGTACCTCTAAATTTTGGATCATCAGGAAGACGAGTATTGGTTTTACAAAATGCCCCTTTTGTTAACCAGGTTGTCATTGCGAACAAGAATTTAATTAAATGTGGACCTTGCTGTGTAAATGTTACCTCCACCGTCGGTAAAAGTGGTGTCTTCAATTCGACTGAGCAGGTCTGATTGGTCTGACTGATTGCCTGGAGAATTATATCCAGAGGTCACTGGGCCCAACGAGGGGTCATTTAGGCGGTTGGATCATGTTAAAAACCTTTTGCTACCTCTTTTAATTCACGTCACTGTCGGCCACCCCCTTTCTTGAGGATTATATAGCTGACTATCATTTTCCACGCTGCGATGCTCCGCGGCCCGCCCCCTTCCCACCTAGGGGCGTGGCCACAGGGGCCCTACAAATTCCCAGTGTCCCCAGATGCTCCCCGAGCCCCCCCCCACTAAATAAGAGACAAATTAAACTTTGCAATAATGAATGGGTATTGAACAAGGCTAACAAAAGCTTGCCCCCCCCCAAAAAAAACACATCACCGAAAGCTGGTGCCCCCCCTTAACAAAGATGCTGGTGCCCCCTGGCTTGTGCCCCCCCCCTGCAAAATCCTAGCTACGTACGTCACTATCCCATCCTCACAATTAAAGCCTAATAAGCAACATAAATAGAACAGATCAAAGTATTGCATTACATCACGCACTTTACAACTAGAACTTTAGCCTCGGCTGTGTTCGGGCGGCTTGTTCTCGTATGTTTGAGAACAGCTCGGTTTGTTTTTCGTGGGTTGGCCGCTCGAACGCCGGGAACGTGAAACCAGTCATCGCCAGTAGTGGTACGAGAAAAATGGCGGCGTCTGTTATATTCTTTGAGGGTTGATGTTTGGATAAAATTCTTTTCTATCAAAACAGGAGCACTCATTACTGTGTTAAAGAAAATTACTGTTAATTTTGCATAGCTTCCCATTGTGTCCACCTTTAAGCTATCTTGTTATTTTTTGCTGCTGTTCAATAATCAAATCTCACGAGTTTTTCCATGTGTACCTGTAAACTCTGACGAGGAGGTGGTGTGTGATCCTGTTCCGAGAACAGTTTTCTTGGTCGTATTCCATCCGTTTGAGCGCGAGAACAAGAAACCCGTGTCAAGACTACGCGGACCCCCCCCCCACACGTGTGAGCCACAACCGCAAAATGATGTTTCGCATGTGGATGGAGGAAAACATATTTTGAGAAAGTGAGTTTGTCAGTACCTTTTTTTGGGTGGGAGAAATGATTGTAATAAAGTTTGTACCCGTAGAGGTGGCGTATATGGCGTTCAACCACATCACTAGATGGCGCCATTCAACTCAGATTGGGGGCGCTATATAACTAATCTACTTGTAGCCGATGCCGTGTTTATGTCATTTACGTGGCGTGCGTGGTGCCGGTGCCCAATGAAAAGTTTACCCAAGTTGTGGAGACAGGGAATTTGAATGGTTTTTTTTTTTGCGGCATAACTCATCTACCTGTATGGCAGCATGGTCACTCATAGGCGTCTATTGTGTACTGTTTGTTGCTACCAATATTACTAACAAGGTAAACCTTGCGCCTACTTACTTACGTCATACCTGGCCTTACTTCGAGAACTCGCATTCTACTTTGTGTGTAGGGATTTTGAGCCCTCTTGATTTACGTGGTGTCGTGAGTCAATCTGTTTTGAAGGTTTCGAGTCAACTCGGACCCAAACCAACTCGGACCCATGCCAACTCGGACCCACGACCAACTCGGACCCACAACCAACTCAGACCCAATACTAACNGAAAGTAACGTAGGTGCCGGTATGAAACCGGACATGAATACATTCGATATGAAACGCTTCTATCATAAGATAATAATAGTCTATGGTCCAGGAAATGGTGTTTAAGTTGTTTACAACTTCTCAGAACTTTGTGAAATGTGAACAAATGAGAAATGATGAAACTTTGAGCGCAAAAAATCTTCACGTGATGTGAATTTGTAGGCATAAGGAATGCATGCCATCAATTTATTGATCCATTTGGATGATTCCGTCTATGATGTATGTATTTGTTTTGGGAAGTTTTCATTCCCGTTTAAATGCATGAATAGGAACTCATGATAAGTTGATGCATTGTGGCATTGGCAATTCTTAGTATACGAGGGCGGACTGGAGGGATTTAGGGTCATGGCCCCCAACGAAGAGCCATGTTTTTGTTTTTTTTTTTGGGTTTTTTTTTGTTTGTTTTTTTGGTTTTTGTTTGGTTTGGTTCGGTTGGGTTTGATTCGGTTGGGTTCAGTTTTGTTTGGTTTGTATTTTTGGTTTTGTTTGTTTTTGGTCTATTTCATTTCTTTTCGTCAGCCCCAAGATATAGCCTCACCCTTCATAGAGGCTATCAAAAAGTAGAAACTAAAAGTCAAATTGTTTACTGAGTCTCCCCGAAAGCGAGTTTGCCCCCAGCCTTGGAAAGTTGGTTCTGGGTCCGTCCTTGCTGTTGTATAAATTTTGTAGTGGTATTTTTGCTTGTATAATAATAGTAATCCAACTTGTGCTTTAGATGCAATTGTCCGATGGTTTTGACATCAAAATCGCGTGCCATGGCACGCGCGTTGGTATTTTTGGCCATTGTCGCCTCTCCAAACCCAGGAGTGTAATGGGTACCTAGTACTGTGAGGGCGGAGAGCAGATTGCGCATGCGCTGATCTCGAGCTACTGAAAAAATGTATCTCATAGCCCAGTGAACAGGAGTAATTCTATAGGATTTTGAAACCTCTGTGTGTACAGCTCTTTTTAAGCAGCGTGTTGCAGTATTAAGTAGTGATGGTCTTGTAAGTGATTTTAATGAATGTGTTGTAATTTGTGTAACCTATTCTGACATTAAGTACGTAGCACAGGGGCCTGTAGTTGTGTTAGAGATCACGTCTCAGTGTTTTACTGGATTAGTCATGAAATTTCATGTTGTCTATGAAGGATGTCGGATGCACGCTTCCTTTGCATATATTGGCACGATGTTAGCGATAGGGGATTTAGAAATCTTGAAAGTAAATACATGTAAAGATAGTGGGAGCTTCCAGTATTGCCCAGCGAGTAAATTAGGAGCATTGGATGTTGTAGTACGATGTAGACTTTGAAGCATTTACTGACCTCAAGTGGTACGGATACAATACACAAGAATTTAGAATTAATATAGAATTTATCTGCAAAATTCATAACTTAGCGGGCTTTGAAGAGCCTTGACTGAATTCCGGGGCACCGGCCTCGCATAGAACGTCCTGCGCAACACAACTCTGAACTGTGTGTTGTTTCTCAATTGGATAATGTGGAAATTTCAAAGATACGTACCTCGAAATTTTGGATCATCAGGAAGACGAGTATTGGTTTTACAAAATGCCCCTTTTGTTAACCAGGTTGTCATTGCGAACAAAAATTGAATTAAATGTGGACCTTGCTGTGTAAATGTACCTCCACCGTCTGTAAAAGTGGTGTCTTCAATTCGACTGAGCAGGTCTGATTGGTCTGACTGATTGCCTGGAGAATTATATCCAGAGGTCACTGGGCCCAACGAGGGGTCATTTAGGCGGTTGGATCAGGTTAAAAACCTTTTGCTACCTCTTTTAATTCACGTCACTGTCGGCCACCCCCTTTTTTGAGGATTACATAGCTGACTATCATTTTCCACGCTGCGATGCTCCGCCCCCTTCCCACCTAGGGGCGTGGTCACAGGGGCCCTGGAGGGCACGTGTCCCCTACAAATGTCCAGTGTCCCCAGGTGTTTCCCCCTCCCCTAAAATAAGAGACAAATTATACTTTGCAATATTATATTAAATGGGTATTAAACAAGGCTAACAAAAGCTTGCCCCAAAAAAACACATCACCGAAAGCTGGTGCCCCCCCTTAACAAAGATGCTGGTGCCCCCTGGCTTGTGCCCCCCCCTCCCTTGCAAAATCCTAGCTACGTACGTCACTATCCCATCCTCACAATTAAAGCCTAATAAACAACATAAATAGAACAGATCGAATTATTGCATTACATCATGCACTTTACAACTAGAACTTTAGCCTCGGCTGTGTTCGGGCGGCTTGTTCTCGTATGTTTGAGAACAGTTCGGTTTGTTTTTCGTGGGTTGGCCGCTCGAACGCCGGGAACGTGAAACCAGTCATCGCCAGTAGTGGTACGAGAAAAATGGCGGCGTCCGTTATATTCTTTGAGGGTTGATGTTTGGATAAAATTCTTTTCTATCTAAACAGGAGCACTCATTTCTGTGTTAAAGAAAATTACTGTTAATTTTGCATAGCTTCCCATTGTGTTCGCCTTTAAGCTATCTCGTTATTTTTTGCAGCTGTTCAATAATCAAATCTCACGAGTTTCGTGTCAAGACTACACGGACCCCCCCCCCACGTGTGAGCCACAACCGTAAAATGATGTTTCACATGTTGTCAGTACCTTTTTTTGGGTGGGAGAAATGATTGCAGTAAAGTTTGTACCCGTAGAGGTGGCGTATTTTAAATTCATAACAACTTTTTTGGCGTTCAACCACATCACTAGATGGCGCCATTCAACTCAGATTGGGGGCGCTATATAACTAATCTACTTGCAGCCGATGCCGGCCGTGTTTATGTCATTTACGTGGCGTGCGTGGTGCCGGTGCCCAGTGAAAAGTCTACCCAAGTTGTGGAGACAGGGAATTTGCATGGTTTTTTTTTTGCGGCATAACTCATCTAACTGTATGGCAGCATGGTCACTCATAGGCGTCTATTGTGTACTGTTTGTTGCTACCAATATTACTAACAAGGTAAACCTTGCGCCTACTTACTTACATCATACCTGGCCTTACTTCGAGAACTCGCATTCTACTTTGTGTGTAGTGATTTTGAGCCCTCTTGGTTTACGTGGTGTCGTGAGTACACCATGGAATCAATCTCGTTTGAACGAGGTGTAGTTCTTAAAAGAACCGGTGAGTATAAACTGGATACTCACCGGTTCTTTGAAGAACCACACCTCGTCCAAAAGAGATTGATTCCATGGCTTACCCGCAAACCCATTTCTCATGTTTCATCCACGATGCAAAGCTTAAAATCTTATTTAAAATGCTTTTCGCTTATGACTGAAGTCATGTGACTCAATTGACAACTGAACATGATGATGACGACAGCGACGTAGATAGTGATGACGATGACAAGTATGTTCGCCACCAATTTCGACCCGCTGAACTTGGCCAACTTCAATTACCTAACGTCGTAGGGCCAGTGAATGTTTGAAAACTGCTTGCACTTGACAAACATCAAGTACTGTTATAGTGTCACCCGTCTACCAGCAAGAGATATGGGTACATTTATAGTCCTTGCCACGGTCTCCCTTGCCTCCAACCCCACAGCGCAGTAAAGTTTATGAATAAAATTTTACTCAGATTTCTAAGGAGAATCATTGGCACATAATCTCTATTGTAAGCACTAAACATTTGGATTGTTTCAGTGTTAGAAATACATGTACATGTAAATGGCGCATGTTCAATTGAAAACATTTGTCAATTTATCACTTTCATTGGTTTATTGTTCAATTAAAATATAAACGCAGGCTCGCGGTTGAAAAAATAATAAAACAGTGGGAAACTTTTGGAATTCAAAGCAAAGAAACACCTGCAGTTTTATCTTTTTATTTCCAATTCAAAATTTAAAATCATAATTTTTTACTAGGTGCACATGTATAGGATGAGATAAAGTTGTACAATAGGCCCCACGCCGCAGCAAACGTTTATTTTACATATGGCTTCACTTACACACCGTACATTGTACTTCTTATTCAAACCTCAAAAATATGTCACAGTCACGACAAGTTGCGTGTTCGTGAGAGCAATCGGAGATCACTCTGTTGAGAAACATCTGTGAAGGTTTTCACGTTTTGATCATCTTTTCTCACATTGTCTGTGACCAAGGGAAGGTGATTAGTACATTATTTTGCATTTGTTTGTATTTTTTAGATTACAGAAAAAGCCTTTATGACCTCGAAAACTGGTCGCTGGTCTGGTGGATGCAGTATCAGTCAGGCTCCTACATAGACGTATTCATTGTATCACATTATCAAAAATGATACATGTACTTGAGTGTGGAGATTTGAGTGACAAATCAGGCCTGCTCGTACAGCCCAGCCAGCCGCCATCTTGTTTAAAAAGATGGTGACCCCCATACATTGCAAAAAATTCCATTTCCCTTCGAGAATCTGGAAACAAATTCACTACATGTATTTCTCTTACACACAGATGTTAGAGTCTCTAAATTATGCTTAATCCACTTCTAAATCTTTAGGGGGTATTTCCAAGTCGTTGACGCTTTGTTGACTATTTGTGTGTGTTGACGCTTGTTGACGTTAAACAGTTCGACCCCCCAAAAAGTGGGGACTTTGTGAAAAAGCTTTCAATGAGCCTCATTTTGCTTAGGCCTGTAAGGCTTGGAAGAGTTCCAAATGTGGACGCTACTTATACTTGACACCCCGTGCATAAACCCTTTCATGCCATGAGACTGAACTGTTTTCTAACCTGTCTAAGTAAACAACTCTGTATTTTCCCTTCTAAATTAAATTTTTCTGGACATGTTTTCACTTTCTAATGGTTAATACTACATGTAGGTCACCGTGGGGAATAATTACATTGTACTTTGTCTACATATTTTTACATGCTTACCACATCAATTCTTTCTCAGTCATTTAATGGGTCATAAATATAGTTGGGATCTGTTTGGTCTGGGAACAAGCACAAATACAGATACATGTACAGGCCTAGTTAATTGTGCAAATGACCTTCAAATGGCCACAATAAACAGCCTGACAGTAACTTCTAATGAAAGGAAAACGATTTTCTTGAAATGTCCAGAAAATCAAATAATTCAGTGTTGCTCTCCTAAAAAAACTAGGTACTTGCTCTTCCTTTCAGTTTAAATGTCTGGTCTATGACATGCACTGTCTCAGATTAACCCAATCAAGGACTCACCTTACAGATTTACACTCTACATGTACCTGTGATTGCCATGAACATGCACAGCTTCTCTGCATGAGTCGACATTAGTCAGTATTCACCTCCACAGCAGAAACTGGAGTATCGTTTTGATTTTTCGCTGGTCTCGCTGTTTGCACCGCATTGTATCAATGACTTTGACCATCTTGTTTTTTCAGTACGTGTTGTCTGTGCTGCATTTCACATACCCAACGCTGTTCCAAGAATGGCAGACTTCAGTTGGCGTCATCGTTCTGTTTGTTGCCGCCAATCGAGGCTTTATCAAGCTTACTTATGACAGGTAACAGATTGCTTTTTAATTGTTCGAGTTTATCATTTCAAATATCACCTTGTGAGGAGTTTGTAATTTGCTGCTTACATTGTGTTGAACTGCCACCAGAAGACTCAAAAGAGGTCATGAAATTTTAAGAGTTTAACACACTTCAAAATAAATGGTTAAATAACATTATCCAACAGCTTGATCCATTAGCCTGGTCCATAGCAATATAACTTCATAGCATCAGTAAGTTTGTTACTTTACTAATGTCTGTTAATTTGGCGAGGTTTCTTTTTTTAATTTTTTATACAAGGTCAGCTCTGTTGCCATGGTTACCTGCAATGATGTTTTTTGTGGGGAGCATCTACTCAGGATCCAGAGCTCTTTCAAAACTTGTAAGTAAACACACCAAAGCCGTCTGTAAAGTTCAATCCAAAATCTGCTTTTTGAACTTAATTTTATTGAAGGTGGTGCTTGGGTCATACTACATGTAATTGTACGGGTACCGTCAATACACCATCAACACTCACAGTACCGCCAATACAATGTCCCCCTGTTTTTTCCCAAAAGTCTTTCATGTGGTTGTCATCCCCATGGTCAGTTATTCATGCCTTTAAAGTTGAAAATGTGCTCATAGCATTAACATTTCTGTAATACTTGTGTAAATTTGCATTATCTACACACCTGCAGATGTCTATACTCCATAGTTATTGTGATAGCGGAAGCGCCCTCCGGTGTTTGGAATAAAAGAAGTTGGAAAATTCTACTCACAGGTCGCATCTCCAGTGTGTCATTTCTTGTACTTAGATACATGTACGTAACAAATTGGTGACGAGAATGGGATTGTTTATTTTAGACCCAGGACATACCAAATAAGGAACAGCAGTCTGCATATTGTGACTTTTCAGTAAGAGAAAATCATAAAATTTGAGCAAAATACCAGAGAAATTTTGCCCCAATGTGTCGATATTTGACTGCCCCGATGCAGCATGGCGGAACTGCGTGGTCAAGGGTTTATTGGAACCATTAAAGCTTTTGATGCAGAAAAGGAGGACGGGCACAACTATCAACGCCGTTTAGAAATACAGATGAGAGCATAACAAATTACCAGTGAGGACGAAGATAGTGTTTTTGTGGCAATGATTGGGCCAGCAGATTTCGAGATAGAGACAAATTATGTCAGCCCAGACAACCCCTCAGAAAAGAGTTTGAACAGATAACAATCTTGTTTAATTATTATGCATCTACATGAATTCAAATCACACTGAGAACGCCATTCAGAAAGTGGCACCAAGAGGCAAGTGAAACTGTTGCTAGCTACATGCATATCAATGATCTCAGGAAGCTGTCTCGACATTGTGGCTATGGAACTGAGTTGGAGACCAATCTGTGTGATACATTGGTGGGTGGACTTTACAACAGATCCAGGCAAAGTTGCTGAGTAAGAGAAACACTCACACGGAAAGCAGTATGTGAAGAGGCCGTTGCCATGGAGATGGCTGAGAAAGAGTGTGAAAATCTGCAGCACTGAGGGAAGCCAGCGCCATCCACATCATCGGCTAATGCCTGTAGTGGTGAAGTTAATCATGTATCAGCCCGGAGGCCCGGGAATCAAGAACAATTCAGGCAGGGCAAGTGTTACCACAGTCTGGGAGCGCATCACCCACAGAGATGTCCGCACATGCAGTCGAAGTGTTTTAACTGTAACAAAGTTGGCCACCTCAAAAGAGCGTGTGATCCAAGCCGTGGACGAAGAGGAGCCTCAGGACGCAGCCAAGTTCAACACAGTAACAGTAACGACAGAGGCTGAGGCCACAGCTGAGGAAACCGTCACGGAGGAAACAGTTGCCGTGGAAACAGTCATGGAAGATATGATCACGGAGGACAGAGTCAAGGTGGAAAATCAGGCCAAGCACATATGGTGGACCCAAGCAAAAACGGCAGAGGCATTCATTAGCATGTCGGACAGAGAAGGCTATTTGGACAACATGGAGCAAAGAACATTATTTTCCATGGACAATGGAAATGCCACTTGTCATGCTAGTGATAGTAGTAGTACTAGGCAAGGTACCGGTAAAGTTGTCAATACGTTATTGACTTTCACGGTGGAGACACAGCGCGCCCTCTGGTGTTAGGAATAAAAGAAGCTGGGAAGTTCCACTAACGGGTCGCATCTCTGGTGTGAGAGTTCTTGTGCTTAAATACATCACCCATACCTGAACGGCCCAAGCCCGGTGAGACGGGCAAAATAGCAGTGAATAGCTACATGTATGCAGCTTAAAGATCATTTTTTGTGTGTGTGTGCCAAAATCTCCATTTTCGAAATTGACATGTGACCTCTAACCACTGAAAATTCTCATTCTGTCCAAATATTACAATGCTCTGCCTCTTCAGTTGATTTCAAATGTACTTTGGAGGTGTTAAAGATATACATGTACTGACATACTACAGTGTATTGTGTGTTGACAGTGATTAATATGACCTGTGCTGTGCATCAACAAGCATCAACAGCTTAGTGGTTTATAAGAACTTGTGGGAGAAACCTCTTCCAAAGTAGAATTATACTGTACATGTAAGTGATAGTGTCACTCAACAGGTGTGCTTTTTTCAATCCCTGGTGTAATTCATTCCCATTTTTTGGTTGCAGGTTGTTCCTGCATTTGTCATTATTCATAACACCGTTGAGTTTCCTGCATACATTGTTGGAATCCTCATCAACAACCAGGCATTCAGTTTGGCCAACATTGCCAGGTGTGTTTACATTGCATTAATTGATTTCAGTTTCAATGTGGACATAACCCTGATATGTCTTAACTCTATCCCCTTAGACCTCTTGACTAGGAGCCATCCTGAATCCTCCGAAATCCTCCGATTTTCAACATGAAAAAATTGCATTCAGCCCAAAGCCTCCAAAATCCTCCAAAATTTCTTGAAAATGTCATTTGGAGGTGTGCCTAACTGCCTGAATCCTTCAAAATCCTCCGGCAATTCCTGTCATCATGTCGAGGTGGTGCGAATGGCAATTTGAGCTGTGCAGTTGATTCAAAAGAAACATTGGGCTGAATTTGTACTTGACTAAGCACAAACAACGTAAGGTCAAATCCACGACCTTCATGTATTGGTATGGCATCTTTCGAAATCAGCCATGCACTTTTGCTCTACACCCTGAATCCTCCAAATTCCTCCACTTTGCAGCAAAGGATTTTGGAGGATTTGGGAGTGTTTTATGTGAAGCTGTATGCAAGCAGTTTTAGATTCAAACAAATTTATCCAGTGGATTCAATTCAATTCATTAGAACTGTATAAATGGACGTGATCTGCATCTCATATGCAGAAAGGTTTGCTTACAAGCTAAAATGCACCCTCTTTTCACTGTCTAAGGTCCAAGAGCATGACTGAGAAACGTGATTTACTTCCTTCAACCTTGAAAAGAATTTTCATTTTGTTTCCCCTCTCTTGCATTCAGTATGGCTGCCGGGACATTTGCTGCAATATTGACGTGGGTAACAGATCCACAGGTCAGGAAACTTCTCATATTAAAAGTCGTGGCTTATTTTTAGTTTTTGTGTTTTGTCAGTGGCTTGCCCTAAATCTGGGAACATGGAACACTTTATTTTTCAGGTTTCATGATAATTTTCACTTCGGAAGCTCAAAAGCTTGTATATCATGTGCATGTGTGTACGCACTAGTTTGTCCCAAGATGGCTTACCAGAGTCATGTGTTCTTTTGTCCTGAAACAACTGGACAGCATGTCCTTACAGTTTCTCTCTCTTTTTTAATACGATAATGGGTAGCAATAGGCAAGTAGGGTAAAGTGGCTAGCCTGTAGACACAACACGATACATTCAACCCTAGCCTGTAGACACAACATGATCCATGATACATTCAACCCTAGCCTGTAAACACAACATGATCCG